GCGAGGGGGCAATAACTCCGGGAATCATGTGTACACCTGTCTGGGAATCATCAGGATAAAAATTGATCAAAATCAATAGAAATCGCTTAGAATAAGCGGGAAACTAGAGAAATAAGAACAAATCAGTCGAAATAAGCGTTTTATACCACTAAAACCCCCCGAAAAACCTATGTAATAATTCTAAGCGGACGGGAATCACCGGGAATCAAGAATTTCGGGAATCATGTGTACACTTCAAAAGGGAGTTATTGCCCCCTCGGCTCTGTGTGTGTGTGTTTGTCGAGGTGGAAGGGGAGGGACGCAACGGAACCGTAGGCTGCTAGAACCCGGCGTCTAGTAACCATACGTGACGAACACAATCTACCAGGTGGCTGACTCACGCCGCGCACGTTATGCTGTACCGGTTGCACGCGTGCGTGCGTGCGTGCGGGCGGGTTGCCTACTCGCACGGGGCCGTAAGGAGCCGTGGGCAGCGAGCACATAGGCAAATCCGCTCGCACCCGTGCATGCGGTACAGTACAACTACGAAAGTGCGCGGCGTGAGTTTGCCACCCGGTATGTGTCGCCTCCTGACACGACATAAGCAGCGTGTATGTGAACTACCTTTTGGCCGTTCCACACGGAGAGAAAAGTTCAGGGCAGACAGCGAAACAGAGTTTGGATTGTTCTTTTCAACTGTACATGTAATCAGTTTCGGCGTCAGGCTGAAACCTATAGACTCTGCACCAGTACATTAGACCTCGCATTAGACTCAGCACCAGAATATTTGGTAACCACACCTGAAAAAGTTTGGATAGTACTTATCGGTCAATTTTTTCGAAACTTTTGGGTGTATGGCCCGAACTCGGCTGCTCTCCGTGCAGGTTTGTCTGTGTGTCTACGTATGTAAGGCTTTGCAGGGTGTCGAGTAGTTGAAGGGGATGGGGGAGGGGCTGTCACCCATCGCCGACTAGCTCGAGGCGCTTTCCTGCAGAAGCACGCTAAAGAGCGGGGGCCGTGATGATGTGCAGCTGACACTGCAGACCGCCCCACCCCCCAAACCTCCCCAAACCTCCTCCTCCCCCACCTCCCCGTCCCCGGCGGGCCGGGCGCTGGGGGCGCGCACGAGGACCTCGAGAAGGGAGGGCCTAGGGGGGGCCGCCACCACCACCCGGGCCCAGGCGGGCCTAGAACGTGACCAAGCTGCAGGACCGGGCCGTCTTTAAGAAGATGCCCATCCACTCGCCCGTCAGCCGCCCCGCAGCTGGCTGGCGGCGCCCGCCCCCGCGCACAGGGCGCCCCGCCGCTCACTCCAGTGCGCGCGCGCGCGCGCTCCCGCTGGTTCCAGGACAGGACGGTTCCAGGAGGGCGCGGGCTCCAGGAACGGGGACTCCACGCCGGCTAACGAGCAGAACGCTTGAAAGAAACTCGTCGTCGCGAGAGCAGTAGCGGCAGTGGTGTTGGCGGCGGTCGCGAGGGGGGGTTGGGAGGGGGTGG